AGGTGTGCAGGAGGCAGCTGATCGATGATTCTCTCTCATCAATGTTTCTAATTTTGTCCCTCTCCTTTCCTCTCTGTAAAAAAATCAATAAAATATATTTTTTTAAAAAAGAATCCTCTTGATGAAATATTGAAAGGCAAGTCAGGTCTCTATTTTTGCACTAATTTTTCAAACCCAGTTCTACTTCTCCAAAGCTACTTCTGAATTTGGTGACTACTATGACTAAAGCAAATTATCTGACCTAGATTTATGGCAGGAACAATACTTTGCTATAAGGCTTTGAATAGATATATCTCTGTTTTCTGCATTTTCATCACTTGTAACAAAGCGATGCTAACTCAGATTTCACAAAGCTTAATTCTCATAATCAGCAAGCAAGGATGGCTGTGTATCCCTAATTGCAGGATAGCTTTAAAATGCTCTACTTTGCAAATTAATTCCAACCTAGAATTACAGAAATAGGGGTAAATAGGGTGATACTGCATATACAGGTTGTCTCAAAAATGTATACACACCTTTTTCCTGATAGCTCAATTTATGTTTCTTTTCAGATTTAACCCATTATAATTAATAATTATTCAAAGTGTGTATACATTTTTAGGGGACACCCTGTATGTTACTTCACTGGCTTAAGAGAAAATTATTTATGACTAAGAATTATCACTGCCTGGCCCATGTGGGTCAGTGGTTGAGCATCAATTTATGAACAAGGAGGTCACAGTTTGATTCTTGATAAGGATATACACCCGGGTTGTGGGCTCTATTCCCAGTAGGGGGTGTGCAGGAGGCAGTGAATCGATAATTTTCTCTCATCATTGATGTTTCGTTCTCTCTAACACTGAGAAAAAAGAATCCATCAATTTTCCCCTTTTAAAGTAAAAATTGTAAGTTATTTGCTGTCAGGTTAGAGGAAATGACTTTCATTTAGTGAATTCCAACCAAGTATCGATATTAAAGTATTATATCACCACATCACCTCTCTCTTCTTTGACACCACCATTGGTAACATTTATTTGTGCTAGACTAATAGTGACAGAATTTTAGAAGTAGAAAAGATTCAAGATATCACATGATTCAATCCAATTAAACTATACTCGGCATGATTGTTAAACAAATAGTTGTAAAGAAACATTAGAAAAATAAAATTGAATTTTTCCCATATACAATCACTGAGAAAGTTTATTAGCTCCCTAGTTTTGAGAAAGAATTAAGTTTTAAGCAGCTGAATTTTGGCATACACATAAAAAAAGTTAAGTCAATTATTTCAAAGTGAGAAGACCATGCAGCATGGAGATCACAAAGGCACATTTATACATGTTGGCAATCAGTTGTACACCAGGAAACCAAAAGCAGTTTATGTAGGAGTTTGGCATGCTAGATTCTCTCTAAATTTCTATGACTAATTTCTCAAGCAGTTTTATTTTTCTCACATAATCACTCTACTGACTTCACAATATAGATGACAGCATTTGGTTGCATCCAAGGCTCCCAAGGGATCATGAAATAAAATATGGTTTTAAAAGCAGGCTGATTATGTAACTAACAATGCAACAAATTATAAGATTTAAATGGGAAAATATGAGATAAATTAGTTTTCTCCTTTCAAAAGCTACAGATTATTGTTCCCTTGCTTTTTTGTGTGTGATTCCAGGGCTACTTTGCTTAATCTAATTATTTCAAACCCATTTATAATTTCTGCTATTCTGCACTGTTGCATTTCCTTTGCCTTGCCCCAAATTTTTGTTTTCATCAAGCAAAATTTTCTTAAAGCCACCTCTTTAGCCATAACAGTAGTCTTTGGTCATCACTCCATCTCTACTGTCACTGTTCACTCCCACATCTACTTCCATGTTATAACGCTTAGGACCTTGCATAAAAATTACTGCTGACACAATAGTAACTACCAGTGACTTCTGATGACCATCAAAGCCCTTGCAGTGCTTGACTTCCTAATGGCCTTTAGAGACAACCAGGACACATACATGGAGATGATAGAACCGGTTTCTTGTACCTTTGCCAGTAGGAATTCTATAAATTTAAATAGGTCTTCCCTTCTCATATCTGAAAACAATGAATCCATGACTTTCTCTGAATATTTTGGCTAATTATCATCCATTAGTAGCCAGAGTATTAAGGTTCTGTATGTCAGGCTTGGAAAATATAAAATTTAAATTTACATGAAAAACAGTCAATTACTATCATTCCAATCAGATAGGGACCAGCCAGGAAACCACTCTAGGTTAATTTAAATGAGGAAATTTAATACATAGATAATGAATGATGAAAAAACTGAGAGGTCAGCAGGGAATGGTGAAGCAACCAAAAAAATTAGTAATTGCAAGAAGCCCCTAACACTTTTAGGGGCTCAGAGACAAAGGGAAATGTCTTATTACTGGAGACTGGAAGCAATAGTTACCTAGTGGGAAAACTAGAACTCGGGAGAGGTGTCTGGTGGGGAGCTAAAACAACAGAGGAAACCAGCCATAACAGGGAGATACCACTCAGAAAATGCTAGTAGGTGAGAAAAACTCTGACTTCTCTCATCTTTCTTCTCTCACAGCACTACCCTCCGACCCTCCATGCACCAAATCTACCTGGAGTCTAGTTGGCAAGTAAATCTGAGAAACATACTGTGTGGGTGAAGAATCAGAAATGAACATTAGATACAACAAGGACATAAAAGAGAAATTTAGAGATGTAATTGGTTGCTAAATTATGTTCAATTTACTCTTTTTGTTATATAATGAAAATGATCTGCAAGTCTCTGAGTAGCCTAGAAATTGTAGCATTTGGCACATAATGTAGTTGGTTAGTGAAAATAATGCAAAGTGTAAAAAGTGATGTAGCAGAAGTAGAATCATATTTTCTCATTATTCACTTTAAACAATAGGAATTGTTATCTTTATAACAAAAATATATACTATAATCATACAATTTATTTGGACCCCATAAAGGATTTACTTAACCTCTCATAATATATTTATACCTATAATTACATACTTACATAAGCATTCACTCAAGACTCACTATGCAGGATGCTATTTACTTGTCCCTAGAAAAACAATTATTTTCAAAAGACAGGGTCATATCCTCAAGAAACAAAGAGTATAGAAATTAAGAATAAAATAAATGACATATATATCGCATAGGTATGATCGAGAGGAAGACATAAGGGAGTAGTTCATTTTTCCATGAAGCAAGGAACCTAATTAGAATGCACAGAAGAGAAGACATCTTTTAAAAAATATATTTTTATTGATTTCAGAGGAGGGAAGAAGGGGGGCAGGAGAGAGAGCAACATTAATAATGAGAATCATCAACCAGCTGCCTCCTACATGCCCCCTACTAAGGATTGAGCTCACAACTCAGGCATGTGCCCTGTCTGGAATTGAACAATGACATCATGATTCATGGGTTGATGCTCAACCAATGAGCCACACCACCAGGCAAGATGGCATAGAATTCTTAAAATGTATCTAAAAGTGCAACTATGATTTATGACAAAGGCAACAATGCGATATAGTGGAGAAAATTTTTTTTCAATAAATGGTGCTAGATGAATAGAATATTTATATAGACAAAAAAAAGTAACTGATACACAAAAGTAAATTCCAATGGAGTGCATGTCTAAACATAAAATATAAAATAATAAAGTTTTCAGGAGAAAAGATAGAAGAACAACTCTGTGACTTTGGAGTATGCAAATATTTCTTAAACAGGACAGAAAAAGCACTAACCATGACATTTAAAAACTAGAAATATTGAACTATTAATATTAAAATCACCATTAAAACAGTGAAATATTAAACAATAGTATAGAATGATATTCACTATATATGTATCTCTTTCTCTCTCTCTGTCAAAAGATTCATATCCAGGATATATTTGTACCTTTAAAAATATTAAACATTAATGAGAAAAAACACTCAATCCAATATAAAAATGAACCAAAAAAAACCTCTTCACAATAAAGAACATAGAATGGCTAATAAGCCTGTAAAAATTGTATTTAATTTCATTAGTTATCAAGGAAATGCAAAACAAAATCACAATGTAACGCCACCATCCACACACAAGGACGGCTAAAATGAAAAAGATGGGGCTATACCAAATGTTAATGAGAACATGGAGAAAGCACTTTGAGAAATTGATTGGCAGTGAACAAAAGACGCACGTTCCAGAACATTTAGGTACTCTATTCCTACTATCCCCAGACTGGAAATAATACATATGGCCATCAACAGTGGAACAGATAAATAAAATGATATATTTAGGCAATGGGATTTCGAAAGAGTAAGTTTGAAGAACTCCCAAGAACACACAGATATTGAGTTAAAAAAAAGAGAGAGAGACAGACAAAAAGAATGTATGCACTATGATTTCATTTATATAAAGACTTTGTTTCGGTCTTAATTACTCTTAGGACACAGGGGTAGGGGAATATGGAAGCGGAAATGAGTGAGGGCTTCTGGGGTGCGTGCAATATCCAGGCTCTTGATCTAAATTCCAGTTACATGGACGTATTCAGTTTTGTGAAAATTCAGTTAAAACTGAAATGAACGGATGGCAGGACTGGACCCGACTTTATATTTTAAAAAACCAAAGAGACCATCGTGAACTGCCCGTCCCCACGCCCTACACGCTAAGCCTCCCAGGCTTGCACGCACACACACACACCAGCACAATGAAGCGGACACCTCATTGGCTGGGACCAGGTGGCGGGCTGCCGGAACCGGAAGTCGGTTCTTAACACCACCTCTTCCACTTCCGGACACTCCTCCTTCCCTCCTTCCCGCCTTCCCGCTTGCGGGCAGTACTATCTTCCCGCCTAGCCTTCGGACCCCTCTGCCTTCCAGCCTCCTACCGTCCAGCCGCGTGGCCCGGGCGCCTGGACTGACGCCGCCGCCGCCGGGCACCCCTCGCCCCGGGGGCCAGGAGAGAGCCCCCTGCGGGTCCCGCCCGCGGCCTGGCTTCGCTCTGCCGCCGCCGCCGCCGCCATCATGAACATCCGCAATGCTGTGCCGCAGGACCTGATGAACATGCAGCACTGCAACCTGCTCTGCCTGCCCGAGAACTACCAGATGAAGTACTACTTCTACCACGGGCTGTCCTGGCCGCAGCTCTCCTACATTGCCGAGGACGAGGACGGCAAGATCGTGGGCTACATCCTGGCCAAGATGGAGGAGGACTCGGAGGATCCCCCCCACGGCCACATCACGTCCCTGGCCGTGAAGCGCTCGCACCGCCGCCTGGGCCTGGCCCAGAAGCTGATGGACCAGGCCTCGCGGGCCATGATCGAGAACTTCGGCGCCAAGTACGTGTCCCTGCACGTCCGCAAGAGCAACCGGGCCGCCCTGCACCTGTACTCCGACACCCTCCACTTCCAGGTCAGCGAGGTGGAGCCCAAATACTACGCGGACGGCGAAGACGCCTACGCCATGAAGCGGGACCTCTCGCAGATGGCGGAGGAGCTGAGGCGGCCGCCGGAGCTCAAGAAGGGCAGGTACGCGGTGCTGGGCCCCAGGGAGGTCCAGGCGACCCCCGAGAGCACACTTCCGGGATCGGAAGGGCCCAGTCCCGAGAGGACGAAGCCAGCCACGGGCAGTTGCGGCAGTGACAGCAAGGAATCCAGCGAGTCCACGGGCGGCACCCCAGAGGACTCGGATTCCACCTCCTAGAGCCTGCCTAAGGTACTCTCCCCTTCTTGACCCCGCTTACTTCCTACCCTAAATCCCGGCCCCATGCCTCGGCCTGCCCAAGTGCGCCCCTTCCCAGCCACCCCAGCTCTGCTAGGTTTCATAGTGAAAACCACCTGGTGGGCTTGGGGCACGGGGTGTAGATTGGGTTTCCAGGAAACTCATTGCTCCCTATTGGAAGTTAATAGCCCTCCACTTCATACACTGAACGTAGATTTAATCCGTAAAAGAAACAATTTGTTTATCCGGCCTTTTTTGGTATGAACTGTATTTCAGGTTACCACATAATGAAATAAGTTTCTTCTTTATATAATTACAACTAATAAATGCAGAAACAATGATAGAATTATAAAATCACCATTTTGAAACTTTTGGTGAAGTTATATATCTAATCAACCGTCACCCATGGCTAATACTGTTAGGTTAAAGTTGGAGCACTTTTTAATAATGGATCAGAATGACAACACTTCAAGTCACTATAACAAGTATAACATCACTAAAAAGGAGATAACTATTATGTGCCTCCTAATGCAATAGGAAATACATACTAACACCTATGGACTATTCATGCCCAAAGAAAATTGCATAGATATAGGTATGAAATTCATTTGGGAACAAAACGAGGCTCTAGATGTAACTGCCACCTTCTAAAATATGTTTTTATTGATTTCAAAGGGTGGAAGTGAGAGGGAGAGAAAGATAGAAACATCAATGGTGAGAGAGAATCATCCATTGGCTGCCTTCTGCACTGGGGATCGAACCTGTAATCCTGGGGCTTGTGCCCTGACTAGGAATTGAACCCTGACCTCCTAGTTCATGAATCTAGGCACAACCACTGAGCCACACTGGCTGGGCTATAACTGCCATTCTTATTTTAAAAAGGAGTGGAGCATGTTAAACTATACCATGATGCAATTGGTCAAGACCAAAATGAGAGAATTTTCTACAGAAAAAAAATGACCTCGTTTGTTCAACAAGTAAATGTTATTTTTTAAATGGGGGGAGGGAAAGAAATTATCAAAACAAACCTTAGAGATATATTGACCAAATGCAACCATTGTGGACATTGTTTGCATCCTAATTTAAACAAGTCAATTATAAGACATTTTGAGAGAACCAGGCAAAACTTGAACATGGACTGTATTCCATTAAGAAATTGTTAGTAATTTTGTTAGGTGAGCTAATTTGTATATAGTATTATACTTAAAATGTCCTTATCCATTAGAGATACATACTAAAATAATTAAAGGTGAAACAATATGGTGCCTAGAATTTAATTTAAAATACTCCAGCAAAAAAAGGAAAACAAAGGGTTGCTGAGGGGGAAATAGATAAGATTGGCAAGATAAGATTATTCTTGAAATTGGATAATGGCTGATTGGAAAGTTCATTATGTTTTTTATTTTTTTGAAAGTGTGGCTATTAACAAGCTAACTGACAAAAACAATTATTATACTTTCTAATACACACTAACACTAAGAAACTACTAAAAAGTAGTTTAAAAGACTTTAAGTTCCATCAAGGAACTTTGTAAACACCTTAAGAATTTCAAGGATCAATGAACTGTTGTCAATTTAGAAGCTTTAACTTGTCATTCTAGTCATGTCTTTCCCATAACAAACTCATGTCAGGAGTGACATACACTGCATATAGTTAAAAATAAATGCTGTTTGGTTAATTTGCTCATTCATAAAAATTTTTGTCAACATGAGGTTTAAAGCTTGGTTTACAGAAGTTATCTGGGAAGCTGATGTTTACATTGCAGCATTTAAGAATAAATGAACTACATTTTTATACAGCAAACTAATAGCACACTAATCCAGTTTTATTTTCCTTATAGTTCCATAGATTATAAAAATTTATATATAGAAAGTTCTTGGGGGCTAGAAAAAATCTGTTCTTAAAGGAGTCTTTGCATCTGCTTTTAACAACCTGAAGGCCTCCGAAACCGGTTTGGCTCAGTGGATAGAGCGTCGGCTTGCAGACTGAAAGGTCCCAGGTTCGATTCCAGTCAAGGTCATGTACATTGGTTGCGGGCACATCTCCGGTGGGGGTTGTGCAAGAGGCAGCTGATCGATGTTTCTCTCTCATCGACGTTTCTAGCTCTCTATCCTTCTCCCTTCCTCTCTGTGGAAAATCAGTAAAATATATTTAAAAAAACAAAACACCTGAAGGCTTCATAATAACTGTGTTCGTTTGGTCTAAAGTTAAATGCAGCAAAGCAATCTAAAGAGAAAGATAAAATATTGCCTTGATAGGAGTTTTTTCACATTTACACCTGTCTTCAAAATCTGGAGGTCTGTCAAGGCTATTTTGTTTAAAATTAACAAACCTTTTATAAAAATGAACAATCTTCAAATACTCATGTATAAAGCCTTTTGTAATACTGATCTCATATTTTGTGGTTATTGGCTTCTTTTTAGTGTTAAACTCCAGCAGAGAAGGACATATAAAATAGCTAATTGGAGATTGCATATTTTCTTTATATAAAACATATAACACACAAACAAGTATTAGATGAATTCAAGAGCACTTAATATTGGCTGTGACAAACAAAAATAACTGCCACCCTTGAAGGAGAAGCGAGAAATAATAAAATCATCCTAGCAGTTAAAAATCTCAGTGTGGCCAAAACCGGCTTGGCTCAGTGGATAGAGCGTTGGCCTGCAGACTGAAAGGTCCCAGGTTCAATTCCTGTCAAGGGCATGTACCTTGGTTGTGGGCACATCCCCAGTAGGGGGCGTGCAAGAGGCAGCTGGTCTATGATTCTCATTGTTGTTTCTATCACTCTCCCTTTCTCTCTGTAAAAAAATCAATAAAATATATAAATATAAATATATATAAAAATCTCAGTGTGCAATGTACAAATTCAGGAATTTAGTCAAACCTGGGTTCTTGAATATATCCCATTTTAGCAATTTGGTTCTTGACTTGTCTTAACAAAACTTGGGTTTGGAGCTGACAACCCTTTCATGCTGAAATGTCAACATGACAAAAAGCATCTCCCTTTATCTGCGCTAAATCTAACATCTCTGGGTTGTTTTTTTGTTTGTTTGTTTGTTTTGCTAGTGAAATGAAAGATTAGCATCATTTGTGTTTTAATCCTCACCTGAGGCTATTTTTCTATTGATTTTTAGAGCAAGTGGAAAAGAGAGGGAAAGACTGAAACTTAGATTGGAGAGAAACACATCAATTGGTTTCCTCCTGCTTGAGCCTTGACCAGGGCCAGGCTGGGGAGAAACCTGCAACTGAGGTTTGTGCCCTTGAGGGGAATCTACCTGGGACTCATCTGCCTGCAGGCTGATGATCTATCCCCTAGATCATCAAACCCACTAGAGTGATTAGCACAACTTTAAAACATAAAGAAGCCATCAAGAGTGCTAATGTTGCTAAGGCTGTGGAAGAAGCAATGATCCCAGGCAATTGAAGAAGCAGAGAAACTTGTTGACTTTGGTACAAACATGGAGCAGTTATCCAGTTATAGCATTTTAGAAGCAGTGAAATGTGAAAAGGCAAAGATGTTACATTCTGACTTCCTAAAAGACAGCCCCAGAATGAGTGCTGAGAATGATTTGTTTAAGTCTAGTAGGGGTGGTTCAAGCTGAAGGAGGATGTGTCCTATACTGAGCATCACTCTCCCAAGTTGATTTCTGCTAAGACATCTTCATTGGCCTCATCTAACATTTGGTCCTCACTGTTCACTTCTGGTCCTTTCCGTCCAGAGGCTTCTTCAGGTCTCAGGTGCCCCCCCACCATGTTTGGGCCATTTCAGTAGCAAGGATATTTGTCTGCATTGGTTAACTTTTCTAAAAAAATAACCTCCAAATATCACTAACTTAACACAATAAGAGCTTACTTTTTCATACCACACTCGAATGTGGTGGGATGTGGAGCAGAGAAAGAAAGAGGGTCTCTTCAAGAGTCATTCAGGAACCCATCCTAGAAGAGGTGTTCTTGTTTTGTTCATAGCCTGTTTGGCAATCTGATGAAGCCTAAAGATCCCTTTTCAGAAAACGAGTTTTAAAAGGCATAAAAATCATATGGGATTACAAAGGAAACCAATTTTATTGAACTATAGTTATTAAACCATTTTAAAAATAAATTTGTTCTATATGTACTTCTTTATTAGCATATGAAATTAAAAAATCTGGCAGTGGGTCTAGTAATGACTGTTATTTCCAAGAAAATTTGATGTAAATGATAATTTTTAGATACCCCAAATAGTAATATAATATGGAAATATCTGATTTTTTATTGGTAGCAAAGTCATGGTATTATTAAAATTGTGCATTGGTCTATACATTCATAATTCAAGGAAATTCTAAATTTCAGTTGGAGGTTGGTGAAATGCAGAATTTTTCTTTCTCTAAAAATTAATGGAAAAATTTTTTTGGGTGAGGATTAAAAACAAAACAAAATGGTAATACAGTTTACTAGTAGCAGGAGAACTTGTTACGTCCAGACTTCGTGATCCTCAAGGACCACCAGGGAGCCGAGTCCGATGCAATAAACCCTCTTCCATGCTAGCATGGGCGCTGTCCCACTCACGCCGGCAGCATGGCGGAAGAGAGCGAATTTCACCAAGTCCAGAGGTTTTACACAGTGATGATGTCTCTGCTTTGGCTGACCCTGATTGGTTGGGTGAGGGCTAGGGTCCAGTTACACAAAATGGAGGATAACTCCACCCTGCCCCACCGTGACGTCTGGAGTTTATCCTCGCCCTGCCCTGCCCTCTCAAACTCACTATGTAACAAGTACTATTTGAAGAACTGTCTATGAACTGTCATTTATTCCTCATAATATCCCTGTGAAGTAAGTACTCCTACTCCATTTTACAAATGAGGGATTCATGCCACACAGAATGCAAATGGAAAAACAGGGATGCAAACATAGATAGTGAGTGAGGCTCCACAATGGTGAGAATAAATATCCTGAAAACTTAGCTCTTAAATTTGTAGGAATAGTAACCATTCAGAGAAACT